TTCACCCTCCGCCCGCTGTTCCCAGGGACGTCCGAAATGGACCAGATCTACCGAATCTGCCAGGTCGTGGGGAGTCCCCTTCCCTCTGAAGTTGGTGGCATGGTGGGCGGCGAAACTTCTGGGGGATCGACGAGATCGTTTGCCGGCTCGACGCTGGGCTATTACGGGGATCACCGACCCGCACCGCAGCGAGACATGATCTGTGGAGGCGGTGCGTGGCCCGAGGGCCTCAAACTTGCAAGCGCGATGCGATTCAAGTTTCCACAAATGCGGGCAGTTCCGCTGCAAGATTTCATTCCCAACGCTTCCAGCGATGCCCTGCAGCTCATAGGTGACATGCTAACGTACGACCCACAAAAACGTCCGACAGCGCAAGAGGCTTTGCAGCACCGATGGTTCCGGAAGCTGATGGAGGCTCATCAAGCGCAAAGCACCATTCTCAACCAAACCGTCTATGAATCCCCAACTTCCATTGATTTCCCCACCCCGGTCTCGAACGCGCCGCCCGCTGCGGAATCAGCAAGCAAAAGAGTTGGCAGAAGAACCGCTTCTTCACGGTCAAAGCGGTCCCCGGAGCGCTACCTATCCATGTCAAGACCTGGATCAGACGATTCCTTCGATTCTACCCGGCAAGCCGAAAATTATCTCAATCCTTCCACCGCGCCTCGGGAAGATGCACCGCCGCTTTCGGTCCACGGTCACGGAATGGAGCAGTTCCGAGCATCCCCTGCGCAGACCGGAAGCCGCACACTGGTATCCTCAAAAACGGAGCACAGATCGTCTGCAACAAGCAGCCGGATTGGCAAGCGATATGATGCCGGGATAGGGGATCCAGGTGGTTCTCGCAGAAATTCGATGCATGCGAAAGAAATCCAGCGCAACTTGGGGGCTCTAACGCCGCAGAGCCCGTCCAAAAACGTGTTGGCGATCGACCAGCTTCTGAACCAAATCGACTCTGTGACAGGATCAGGAAGCAACGACACTCTAACCGACCTGCCCAATATGCAGCAACCCGGGGCTTACGGCAACAGCTCCCAAAGTGGCTCAAAGAACCGATCTCCCGCTAGAAGCAATTCTTCGCGGCATACGTCGGCATCAAGACGCATCAGCAATCCTTTGATTGTATCCCACCCCCTGTTTAACGACCCACCACCACCGGATCCTTTGTCCATCCCACGACTGGAACCGCCTCCTGTATATACCTCCGTATCATCTCAACCACCTGCCGCAGCGGCATACCACAATCAATCGACCTTTTCTGAAACTGACTCCATGCCACTCCCAGACAACCCTTTCCCTGGTCGCCTAGATCAAAGACGAGCCCTGAATCCTATTGCTCGCAAAGGTATCGTACAGCAACCTTTAGATATCAATCTACCTACACCTTTTCCTAATCTTTTCTGTCGTTTATCAGGCGGACCGAGCTCACCGACAAAGAACGAAACAAATTCGATGAACCGCAGCTTCCCCCTTACCGAGTACAAGCTCAACCCTATCAACCGCTCAAAAACCCACATCGGTCACGTCCAACCCCTTCAGAGAAACGAATACTACCCAATGGGTGACCCACGGCCAAACCAGTTGGATCCCTCTCTTTCCCGTCGCGATGTTTACGCCACTAGTCCAATGCAACAGCAGCAGCAGCGTCAGCACCAAAACTACCGCGGATACAACGGGTTCCCCCCCAACGCAGCTGGCGGCGTCAGCGGCATCTCAAACAACGCCTACAGCCGTCTCAATCCAGGCAACGTAGCGATCCCCGGTGGACGTCTTCGAAGCCGAACGACGGCCCTAGATCCCCTCTTCATGGGCCTCTCTCAGCCGGATCCTAAACCAAATTGGGGAGTCGTCGGATCCAGCGTGGGTGGAACTGGCGGAGGGAGAACAGGAGGTACTGGTGGTGGGACTGTGATGGCGCCGTCAAAGCGCCGTGTTTCCAACAACGGTCTGGGCGCCATTGCGAGTTCACCCGATCGAGGTCGCAATGGAGGGGGAGGCGGCGGCGGGGGAGGAAGCAAGGCCGGACCGCTTTTCCCATCGATGGATTCTCGGATGCCGGGCATAGGCAACGTGAGAAAGCAGGAAACCTATGTGGGTGTCGCGGGACGGCGGCACATGGGTTGAAGCTGCAATTCCGTTTATTTCCACTGCCACGGTTCCTCTCCTTCATAAGTCTGCTAGTTATTTGTTTGAATTCGTGACTTCTTTTTATGTTCACTTGTTCCTTCAGATTGTAGTCACGTTTTGTTACTTGGCTTGCAGGCCAAAATAAACTCACGCAGGAAAGGATTCTCGACTGAATGACTCTTTGTCGCACAAATTTCAGTTTCTTCTAAGACAAACTTACTCATGGCATCAACATCGACAAACGACTGCAAAGTGCTTGCGCAAGCGTTTCCCGCTCTTACACTGCAATACGATGATGTCACTCCTGCCATCTGCTGCACGAACAACATCACCGGCGGCCTGGGGAACAGCAGCATCGCCGAGAACACCATCACTTGTGGAAACGATAGGATTGTGGCCATGTAAGCAAGCTTGCTCGGCGCATTGATTTGAGGCTGCAATGCTAACCATCGCGGCAGTAACTTCAGGTCACGTCCTCTCAACTCATCTATGCCATCTACCATCACCAGCCTTGACGCTTTGGAATACCTCCGTCTTTGGAATTGCAGTCTGAGTGGCCCCTTGCCCTCTTTCCTCGGATCGATGAGCAGCCTCACGTACCTGTAATATCTTCTGCTTTTCCCTGGTCTGTTGCTCATTACTTCGGTGTCGTCACCTCTGCAGGTCTCTTTGGGGGAGCCCTCTTAATGGAAACATACCGCCTGAGCTCGGCAACCTCCGGAACCTAACAGACTTGTGGGTGTTTTACTTGAACCAACGCGTCATGCAAGCTCACATACTAGGCGGTTAGAATCTGTGAACCTTACCGGACCTATTCCCCCCCAACTCGGAAACCTCGAAAATCTCCTATACTTGTAAGGACTTTTGTTATCGCAAAGTCTGACAGAAAGATACCTTGGCTACAACGCTCTGACCGAGTCCATCCCTCCCGAACTCGAAAAACTTCAGAATCTCCATCAACTGTGGGTACCTTTACGTTCCGCGTTTCCCGAACTAAATCGGAACCACAGATCGCTCGAGTCTAATCGCCTCACTGGTCCGATACCTGCTTCACTCGGAAATCTCGGAAACCTGAGCAGATTGTTGGTTATTTTTACATTCACCGTAACGCCCTTTCTAGCATGGTTGCAAATAACTATTTGAATGACACAATCCCCGCTGCGATTTCAAGAGTTCGCTATAGGTTCGTTTGTTTACCCCGAAGAACACTAGCGTAGACTCATTTTCTTCCTTTAAGAGATATCACCTTCAACTGCTTCACTAAAGTAGAAAATGCTTCTGCGTACTTCAGGTAATGCAAAATTGCATCACATCATAAGCGAAATTCAGCACAACGATGAAACCCGATGCAGACTGCGGGGCGTGGTATGCGCGTCTTTCAAATCCAGGGTAGGTCTTGCTTCGCTTCTGTCTCACTCCAGTACTTGGCATTCATCATACCCACAGACCGATCGCACCTTCATCCTCCGCGCCTTCTATCGTCGTCATCTCTAGCGCCGTCGTTGGTGGACTTGTCTTTGTCGCCCTGGTCACGGTTGCCGTTTTGCTATGGCGCCGACGTACAGGGCAATCAGCCAAGAAGGATAACCTCAGCGTTGGGGACGCGGCCATACCACCGCCGGTTGAGGCCGAGTCTGATATTCGGTCTTCCATGAGAGCTCTGCAATCCAATCCAGAAGACGCGACTGGCGCCAGCCTATGGACCTCCCAATCGGGGTACGCGAACTCCTCCGGCATTCCAGAGGGGGCTGCGCAGGTGGACGCGAAGCAACGAACCGAGTTGTTCCGCGGTTTGGAAAGAACAGAGTTGAGTGCGCAGGACCCGCGCAAGAACCTTTTCAGCAACGCTCAGGTGGCGTGGCCGCCTGGTGCATCACCGCCAGCAAAGTACATCGATTTCGAGAAAGAAACCAAAGACGACGACATGTGCAAGCTGCCCATCGCGCCGCTGCGGGTGGGGTCCATGTCGGGGACGTCGGCGCTCAGGGACCCAGGAGAAGCCGAGTTAGGAGACCGAGCACCTGGACTTGGCGTCCGCGGGTTGATGCCAGCGGAAGTGAGCGAGCGGCTCATGGCCATGGGCGTCGGGCCTGCCCTGGTGGCCGCGTTGGAAGGTATTCATTCTTTCGCCATTCACGCCAGCTTACTCTTTCTAGATAACGGAGTCGACGGTGGACGCCTGGTCATGCTAGACGATGCCCAACTCGAGGCGATGGGAATCGATCAGCCAAACTCGAGACAGCTCGTGCTGCAAGCTGTGCAGCTTGTCATCCGGGATGGAGGAGGGAACGCGAGCAGTATCGTCCGGTCTGGCACCGACGAACCGGAGGACTTGCCGCGATATGGAACCATTTCGTGAAATTTTACTGGTCAATAAACTTCTTCGGGAATGCGCGGCTTAACTGTGAGGACGACAAAAAAACAACCATCCATTGACATGGGCGGATACCTGCCGCCCTTTTCTCCGCCTCCAGTATTTATGGGCCGGTGATGACAAGGTCGGATACTAGCCATTATACGCCGGCGTGGCTTCCGGACGCGTTGAAAATATTCCAGCATGGCAACGACGCTTGCAAGCAGGCACAGAAATTCCAGAGACAAGCATGATACGGCGAAGGAGAAGGTCTGTGGCTGCCGGAGTGGGCCTTTTTCGGCAACTTCTTATGTGACAGGATCGGTGAGAAGCGGGTTGCAATTGTCGCATTGTTGAAAAAAAGTTTACAAACAACCACCTCTCCATCAGTTCACGCGATTTGGCTGCCACATCAACAGCATCGAAGGCTCCCGATACCGACACGACGAGAAAAAAGAAGCCGATGTCAATGAAAATGAAAGATCCCCACCATCCGAAACGAAACGTAAAAAAAATCAAGCTCCCAGTCCGGGAATTGAACCCGGGTCTCAACCGTGCAAATCCGGATAACGGATGACAGGGTCGGATACTAGCCACTATACTAACTGGGAGAGATCAGATAACGGAGAACCAATCGCATTGTTCCGGAGTTTAACCGGTTAATTTGCCATCTGCAGACTGCATTGGCCGGGAATCGAACCCGGGGCTAACCGATGGCAACGGTTAATTTTACCACTAAACCACCAATGCTGGTGTTCTTCGGATGTTGAATTTGCCGGTCGCCGTGTACATTATAAAGTCTTTTAAAGAAGCCGTAAAATCGAATTCACCAATCATCAAATGGACGAAAGAGCCCTCTGGGGTTTGGTTTCGGAGGACTGTGTGTAAATGCTGCGACTCTTCATGCGAGCACTGCGAGTACTGCTTCTGGGACCACTCAAAAGTCAAGACGTTCTAAATGGCTTGACCAAAATGGCGGTTGTATGTGAAATGTGCTACGATCATAAGCAAGGCTTCCAAAGACAAACCCGCGTTCAATGGCAAAGGGACAAAGTAACAACAGCTAGTTGTGAACACGCCAGCAGTGAGTTGTCGAGTCAAGAACGTTGTAAATTACAGGTTGTCACCAAGGATATATTGACTGAAGAGAAACGTCACTGAAAACAGAGGTTGAGAAAACGAGCCCCATGCAATGTCAAGCGAAGAAAGCGTTCTGCAGCATGAATAATGAAAAACTCCCCAGCACTCAACCCCCCATTCACGGCTTTGTGCACTTCCACGCCTTCCTCCCCGCCGCCGCCTTTGCCCACCCATAAAACTCAACCACCCTCTCCGCCACGCGATCCCACCTCACTCCCCTCGCCAAATCCACCTTCTCCCTCACCTCCTTCACCGCCACATCCACAACCGCCTCCCACCTCAACCCCTGCAGCTGCCAGCACACCGCCACGGCCTCCGACACCGCCTTGGCCGCCACGCCGTCCAGCGTCACAGCCCGCCCGGCGCCCAGCACCGCCGCCACAACCCCATGGAACCGTCTCCAGTCCACACCCGCCAGGAACGCCAGCGTGGGGTTGTGCTCGCGTGCTGAGGCTGCCATCTTGGCCCACGGCTGGTCGCGGATCAACACCACGATCTCGACAAGCTTCTTGTGCTCCTCAAGCTCCTTGGGCGAGATCTTGAACTCGTCGGGAGACAGGTACGACTCGAGGCCACCGTTGCCGGCATCGGGTTTCGAGGTTGGCGCAAGGTAGGAGCCGCCGCGGGTTGGGGTCACGTTGGTGGTGGTCGGCACGGCCGTGGTCGGGTCACCGTACTTCATGGTGGGCGACACGGTCGGCTTGGCGGTGGTAGCGGTGGCGCCACCGCCGCCACCGACAGCCTTCTTGATGCCTCCGTCAGCGCCGGTGATGCCACGCACCGCCAGCCCGACGGCCTCCCTAACCGGGTCGTTAGCAATGACGGGCACGCCCGCCGCCGTGGTGAGCGTCACGTTCCGCAGCCCAATGAGCCCCAACGCCAGCCTCGCGCCCGCGTTGCCCACAGGCTGGCTCTTGCAGTCGTCCGGGTTGCCGTGCACGATCAGGGCCCTGCCGAGGGCGAGCGCGTCGTTGGCGTTGGCAAACAGACCCATGAGCTTGGTGGTGAAGGTGACCGTTGCGGTGCCGTCGGCGCGGGCCTCGAAGAGGCCGAGATCACCTGCGTGGCGTTCCTCGGTGTCGGTGCAGGCGTGCGGCTTGTTGAAAGGGTTGAAGTGCAAGCCGGCTTTCAGGCCGCCCGTGCCGAGATCGCTGAGGTCGCCAAACTCGTGGACGTGGATGCCGTGCATCTTGGACGGGGGAAGCCCGCTGACCGTCAGCCGGATCTCGAGCGGGGAGGTCGGGGATGCTTGGCGAAGGAGCGCGATGCCCTGCACGCCCGAGCTGTTGGACGGGAGGAGCAGCGCGACGGCCTCGAGCGGCGCGGCAGCGGGCTTGGGGACCGAGGTGCGGCTGAAGGCAGCATCCGCCGCGTCGTCGGGGCTGATACCAAGCGCATCAAACATGCTGGTCCACGGGTCGACGGCGCGGTCCTCGGCGGCGGCAGGGGGTGCAGCAGCATCCTCGCCCAGCATGCTCTTGACGTAGTCGTCGAACGCAGCAAACCCGTCCTCACCGTCGCGGCGACGGTACTTTCTATCCTCACCCCGGGCAGCAGGCGGCGGCAGGATCCCCGTGGACTTTGGCACCGTGCTCCCCGAGAGCCAACCGACAACGCCCTGCGCGATGCGTCCACCCGCGTTGCCAGTGGGCTGCGTGGTGCAGTCGTCCGGGTTCATGTGCAACGAGATTCCGCGGCCAACCACAAATCGCGACGTGCCGGGGTCCAGCGACGGCCCGCCAAAGGCGGTGTACTTGACCTCTTTGCGCACCACGCCGTTCTCGTCAGCAACCACGTTGCCAATGTCGCCGGCGTGGGATTCATCGGGCTTCGCGTTGACGTTGGGGCAGCGGTGGGGCTTGCCGGTGGGGTTGAAGTGGAGGAACTGCGACGCGCCGGTGGGGTCAGAGATGTCGCCAAACTCGTGGAAATGGATCGCGTGCGTGGCTTTGGGCTTGAGGCCCATGATGGTGATGTTGAGCGTGGCGCTGGGCTGCTGGGTGGGGTTGTCGTGCCGGACCAACACCAGGCCGCGGACGTTCTCGTTGCCCTTGGTGGGCGTCAGGAACGCGATCGCGGCGGTGAAGGGGTCGGGCTTGGCCGTGGCCGAGGCGCTAGGGGCGGGTGCGGACGTCGACGGGGCGGCAGTTTGGGTCACAGGCGCGCCAACGGCGGAAGTCGCGGTGCCGGGGTACATCTCGGCGATCTTTTTGAACAACGCGGCGTCGAGGGTGGCGTTGCGGGAGCCGACGACGCCCTGGGTGACGCGGGCACCGGCGTTGCCGACGGGCTGCGAGGTGCAGTCGTCCGGGTCGGCGTGCATCTGGAACGCGCGGCCGAGGATGAACGCTTTGCTGTTGCGGAACAGGGAGAGCTTGTCGGCGCGGATCACGGTCTTGATCTTACCCTCACCGTCGGTTTCGATGTTGCCGAGGTCGCCTGCGTGGCGGTCCTCGATCAGCTCCTTGCCCTTGGGCGGGCACGCGTGCGGCTTGTTGAAAGGGTTGTAATGCCCTCCAGCACTGAGACCAGCCGGGTTCGAGATGTCGCCAAAGTTGTGGATATGCAGACCGTGGCGGGTCTTGGGCTTGAAACCTTCGGCATAGAGGAATACAAAGACCGGATAGCTGGGAGCGGGCTGCAGGAACATGGCGTAGCCCTTGACGGTGGAGTTGACGGTGGGGGTGAGGACCGCGACGGCCGAGAGGGGTCCAGTCGGGACGCCCTGGATGGCGCTGGTGGGATCCGGGGTTTTTGTGGCGTTACGCCACCCGAGGACACCCTGAGCGAGACGGCCGCCAGCATTTCCCGTGGGCTGATTGACGAAAGGAAGGTTTTTGTCAGCACGAATATCAAGGAAAATTTTCGAGCACCGCCATGTTGACCGCAAATTGAATGTGAAAGGGGGACAAACCACCCACCTCGCTCTTGCAGTCGTCCGGGTTGGCGTGCAGGATGATGGCCTGTCCGATGGCAAAGTTCACGCGGTCGACGTTGAGGGACGCGCCCGATCCGCCTGGCCGAATGACCTTTTCGACTCTGCCGTTCTCGTCGGCGACAATGTTGCCGAGGTCACCGGCATGCGACTCTTCGGCCTTGACGTTGTCGATGCCGGGACAGCGGTGAGGCTTCCCCAGTGGGTTGAAGTGCAAACCAGCTGCGAGACCTGCGGGATCGGTGATGTCGCTGCAAGGAAGGAGTGTCGTAACGGTTAAGAGACGGAGATAGAAGAAACAGCAGGAAAGCAAAAACGAACCCAAAGGCGTGGAAGTGGATGGCATGCGTCGAGCGAGGAGCGAGACCGGAAGCGCTGACGGTGACGGTGACGTCATCGTACTTTTGGGTGACAGTGACGATGGCCGAGACGGATGAGTTGACGGTGGGCGTCAAGATGGCGATGGCGTTGAAAGCGTCTGGGTCGATGGAAGGGATGGTGGCAGCTGGTGTGTTAGGGGAAGCGCGGAAGGCGAATTCGGGGCTGGGAGCAGCATGCGTGGCGACGGCGAGTGCCGCGAGCATCATCGCCGCCGAGATGGAGGATGATGTGGCCTTCATTCTTGCACTGGCCCGCGTCGGGGGGGTTAGTTTCCTGTGCGTCGGTCGGTTTGCTTCCTGCTGGTGCGTGGCTGTCTGCTCAGTTGACCGATGGGGGTGTTTGCGAAAAGCCGGGTTTGCGAGCAGTTGAGAGTTGGGTGGATGGGGGAGGAGGTCGTCCCCACTGACCCCCTTTTTATACCTTCCAAAGATTTGCTGGGCTCTCTTCGCCCCCTCCTGGGCCTCCTCTGCTCTTGAAAAAGAGCAATTTGCTCAGCCCCTCCTCCTTTTGGGACCGAGTTGGCGACACAAACCATAGCGGGCATCGTGCGAACAGCCGCTGAGGAAAATTATTATTTACATTTTTTTTTTTTTTTTTTGCTTTTGAGTGACACGCGTCATCCTGTTCTTGTTACTGCTTCCAGACGCGTCAAATCCTCTTCAACGCTCCCTTCTCCTCCCCTAAACCCTCATTCAATACGCTGTTTCGTTCCCCCCGTCCACTCCGTTACTCCCTCTCGAAACAAGGTCCTTCTTGGTCCACTCGTCGTATCCATGCAAACCCATCCAACAACGCGTCTGGAAACGCGCTTCTCTCTCTTCTAATGCTGATTGCAGTGCAGCGAGGGCGTCTGCTCTACACTCTCTCGGGAGGCGACTGAACATGAAGGGAGGTCTTGCTCAGCCCAACGAAAGGGCGTTGCTCTCCTCCCGCCGAGTTGATTTCAATGCGGCAAGTTTCCTCGCCGCTTCCACAAAGGATCCCTCTGCACCGCCACCCTCCCTCCCCCTCACCCATCGAACTCGATCGGTGGAAAACCCTTTCAATCTCCGCAACAGGTGGAAAATAGCTCAAAGAGGGAAGGTGGTACAAAGGGCAGTTCTCTCTTGAAATATCGGACAGGATGTTGTTCGGACACTTCTTCCCTCTCTCTTT